CTTTTCTGCAAAGAGATCCGACAAGAGCACAACTCCTGGAGAAACTCACCACTTCAACGCAGACGAAGGCCAGGTTGATCAACATGTTGGACTGGACTGATGGAAACCATCATACAACCGTGGGAAAAAAACAAAAAGAAAAGAGAAACCGTGAGCTGCCCGCGGCGCCCTCTCCACGCGCGACACGTGTCCAGTCGCGCGCGCTTATTAGCTTTTTCGTATATCAACTCCTCCAAGTATCAAAACCGGTGCAAACAATGTCTCTCGGTGGTTTTAGAGGTGGTTTTAATTAGCGTGGCGCCTATGTGACGGTCTTGACCAAGTCTTTATCCTACGTGGTGCTTATGTGGCATTAGAATAAAAACAAAAATAAAAAATATGTGAGACCCATATGTCATTAAAAAAAAGAATTGTGGGACCCATATATCATCCTCTCTCTCCTTCCCTTCTTCCTCCCCCTCTCTCTCCCTTATCTCTCTCCTCCACCCCCTGGCCCCGGCCTTTCTCTTGGCCGAGCGGCAGCGGCGACGTTCAGCAGTGGCGGAGCCAGGGCTCCTCAGCCTTTTAGACCTTATAACAATATCAGACAAAGTCTATTTTAGCCCCCTTACAATATATATATATATGGGTTTAAATTTTAGGAGGTTGTAACGGGGGCTCTAATGGTTTATTAAGGGTAGAGGGGTCTAAAGACCCTCCAGCCCCCACGCTGCCTCCGCCACTGACGGTTGGGACGACGGCGGTGGGGAGCGGCGGCGGCGGCGGCGGTGGCGGTGGGGATGAGGGTGGGGAGCGGTGGCGGCGGTCCCACGAACTGGATGAGATCGGAAGCCTTGCTCCATGCAAAACTGCAAATGAAAGAAGCAGAGAAACAAACTTGCAACGACAGAAGGAAACAAAAAGCATCCCAAATCTGTGCATCCACACACCCATACAGAGGTAAATTAAACAGATCGATCTGACGAACGCAAGTACAGGAGCACAGTAGTAAACGGCATGCATGGAGTACGCATAGATCTGGGGGGTGGGAAGGAGAGGAAGAAGCCGGGTGAGGTGAGCTCGCATCGTAGTGGAAGAGGTTGTTATCGGCGACGTTGACGAGGGAGTGGTTCGCGCGGACACCACCTCCTTCCCGGCCGCGCAGGGTGGGCGAGCCCCTTCTTCGACACCGGCGCCTCGCCAGCCGACGCGGACGCGGACGCCGTCGCTGTGGGTGGCGCTAGCGCGGTCTCCGACACGAACAGCTTCGCCACCGCCGCCGCCGCTCCCCACCGCCGTCGTCCCGACCGTCGCCGCCGCCGCTCGGCATGCTACTCAATTTGTTGCAACCATGCCCTTTCGTGTTAAATGTGGTGTTCTTTTCTTCTAAAAAGGAAGATGAAGATTAATTTTTTTACGCAAAACGAGATGGTATTAATGTATGATTGATTAAGTTTTAATTATTATAAGCTTAAAAAATAGATTAATTTGATATTTTTGAGAAACTTTTATATTTAATAAAGTTTTTTAATCTTGTTGGAGAAAGGAACGGGACCAAAGTGATTGGAAGTTATGTTAGTCAAAACCGCCTTATAAACCACGGAAGAGGCGAAAAGAAACCCTTCCGTCAGTTACGTGGTTCAGGGACGAGAATCGAGAGTCAGACGTCTAGCATCGGGGCCGATGAGCAGTCGACCACAGCGCGTCGCCTCCTTCCTTAGCTGCAAGCCATGGAAAAACGTTGTCGGCTTCACACCATCCGAGCTTCCGGCCATGCTTCTATCTGCTTCCATCCAGCGTGCTTGAATAATCGAGATTAGCTCGAAAGGACACTACTCGCTACTGTGCAAGCGGCCCATGACAGGCCGCGGTGACAACATGGCCAAAAACAACAACGTGAAACCTCTGCAGTTGAAACAACAACGTGAAAGGTGAAACCAACCTCAAAACCTCTGCAGTTGATAAAAATAACAGGAAAGCTGATACCAAAGTACCCACCGTATCTTTTCAATGTCAGTGGAATCTTAGGGAGCACGCTCAATAAGCTTCTCAAACATGTGTGATTTAATTACAGGTACGTGTGAATTACCCGAATTTTTTAGATGTAAGCACATGCAATCCAGTAATTACAAAAATAAGCACGCAACAACCACATTTAGATGTATAGGCAAGATGCTCACATGAAACACGGTGCTTCCATTGAACCACTTGACCAACAGACTAATGGGCCGCTGAATTAAGAACGTTAGCGCAAGAACCCACATCACCAATTGGTTAAATGCATCATTACGGGAGCATGCATGGTTTAATTGTGTTGTTTTCATTTTACAACTTATTGTAGCATATGTATTTCTTACATTATTTTTTTAAAAAAGAAAACATATATCTACGATGTGAGCTATGAGACCAAAACTATTGCTATTAGCTGAAGAAAAAGAAGAGGATTAATACTACTCCCTCCATCTACTTTTGATAGTCATATTTTCAAATCTGAAAAATTTATTTTTGATAGGCATATTTCAATCCAACAACCTATCATCTTAATGACTTTCTCGGATTTAATGCATGACTCTTCATTTTTCCACACATGATTCGCTACATGAAAATTGAGAAATGTAAATATTAATGTATCGCTTGTTTACGAGAAATGACTAGTAGCATGTTTGAATGGATGATAAGTAGAAGTACTTATCCTTGGTCTATATGTCAAGATGAAATATGACTATCGATGATGGAGGGAGTATTGGGCTGCTCGCACGTTAATGCTAGAAACAAGACCGGCCGCAAAACCCCCCTTGGTTAACCCGATATTGACAGTGCTCAAGTACTTGTGCGAAGGTTGGTTAGAATTAGAATTCCAAACAATGCGTGCTCACATATGTAATTATTGGGCTGCATGTGTTTAGTTGATAAAAATAACAGGAAAGCTGATACCAAAGTACCCACCGTATCTTTTCAATGTCAGTGGAATCTTAGGGAGCACGCTCAATAAGCTTCTCAAACATGTGTGATTTAATTACAGGTACGTGTGAATTACCCGAATTTTTTAGATGTAAGCACATGCAATCCAGTAATTACAAAAATAAGCACGCAACAACCACATTTAGATGTATAGGCAAGATGCTCACATGAAATACGGTGCTTCCATTGAACCACTTGACCAACAGACTAATGGGTCGCTGAATTAAGAATGTTAGCGCAAGAACCCACATCACCAATTGGTTAAATGCATCATTACGAGAGCATGCATGGTTTAATTGTGTTGTTTTCATTTTACAACTTATTGTAGCATATGTATTTCTTGCATTATTTTTTAAAAAAAGAAAACATATATCTACAATGTGAGCTATGAGACCAAAACTATTGCTATTAGCTGAAGAAAAAGAAGAGGATTAATACTACTCCCTCCATCTATTTTTGATAGTCATATTTTCAAATCTGAAAAATTTATTTTTGATAGGCATATTTCAATCCAACAACCTATCATCTTAATGACTTTCTCGGATTTAATGCATGACTCTTCATTTTTCCACACATGATTCGCTACATGGAAATTGAGAAATGTAAATATTAATGTATCGCTTGTTTACGAGGAATGACTAGTAGCATGTTTGAATGGATGATAAGTAGAAGTACTTATCCTTGGTCTATATGTTAAGATGAAATATGACTATCGATGATGGAGAGAGTATTGGGCTGCTCGCACGTTAATGCTAGAAACAAGACCGGCCACAAAACCCCCCTTGGTCAACCCGATATTGACAGTGGTCAAGTACTTGTGCGAAGGTTGGTTAGAATTAGAATTCCAAACAATGCGTGCTCACATATGTAATTATTGGGCTGCATGTGTTTAGTTGATAAAAATAACAGGAAAGCTGATACCAAAGTACCCACCGTATCTTTTCAATGTCAGTGGAATCTTAGGGAGCACGCTCTATAAGCTTCTCAAACATGTGACCCTGTTTAGATGGGACTAAAACTTTTAAGTCCCTATCACATCGGATGTTTAAAAATTAATTATAAATATTAAACGTAGACTATTAATAAAACCCATCCATAATCTTGGACTAATTCGCGTGATGAATCTATTGAGCCTAATTAATCCATGATTAGCCTATGTGATGCTACAGTAAACATTATCTAATTATAGATTAATTAGGCTTAAAAAAATGTTAAGCGAATTAGGTTTCATTTATGTAATTTGTTTCGTAAATAGTCTATATTTAATACTCTAAATTAATGTCTAAATACAGGGACTAAAGTTAAGTCCTGTATCCAAACAGCACAGGTACATGCGAATTACTGATCCGCTTTGTGCAGTTGCTGTTGTTATTTTGTTCTGAAATGTGATACAAATGCAAGCTGCTACGGTGCTCGTGCTCCCTGAACTGGCTCCTCTGACTTTGGCATCAAAAGTCCGGAAAGCAGTGTAAAACAGTGAAAGTTATCCTATAGAGGTATTGTTCACAGTTTTAGCGTGTCACATCGAATATATGGACACACATTTGAAGTATTAAACGTAGTCTAATAACAAAACAAATTACAGAATCTACTTATAAACTGCGAGATGAATTTATTAAGCCTAATTAATCCATCATTAGCAAATATTTACTGTAGCTCCACATTGTCAAATCATGTAGCAATTAAGCTTAAAAAGATTTGTCTCGCAAATTAGTCGCAATATGTGTAATTAGTTAATTTTTTTAGCTTATATTTTATACTTCATACAGGTGTTCAAACGTTCGATATGACAGGGTAGAAAATTCTGAGGTGGATTTAAACAGGACCTATGATCTTGTTCTGTGAATGGCTAAACATACCTCCAAAGCCCTTGTTTAGTTCTAAATTTTTTCTTCAAACTTTTAACTTTTTCATCACATTAAAACTTTCTTACACACATAAACTTTCAACTTTTCTATCACATCGTTCTAATTTCAACCAAACTTCTAATTTTAGCCTGAACTAAACACACCAAAAGTCATGAGAACTGTAGCTATGTGACTTTACACATTTAAAGCGAGAGGATCTCATTCCCTCCCGCTCTCACTTGAGCTGCCCAGTGGACTGCTCTGCTTCGTTGGACTTGGAGTAGGCACTAGGCAGTATGGCAAGGCCGTCTCCCGTTGAGGCAAGCGGTGGTCCGGTGATGGGAGACATCACCGGCGGCGGTGGAGAGCTTCGAGTCCAGATAGCAGCCAACTCCGGCGGGCAAGGTGGCAAGGTCGTCGGCGCCGCGCCGGAGAAGTGTCTGAATCGCTTCGTCCGCGTGGTGGCGCTGATGGAGAGGACGGGCAACGCCCTCGGCACGCTGGCCTTCACCTGGGCTACCGTCATCCTCCTCGGCGGCTACCCCACCGTGCTTGACTCGAAGCCGAAGAACAATAGCGACTATTGGTTCACGACAGTCATCGTATTCATAGAAGCCGCAAGGTATGCAACTACATTATGGCCTGGTTTAGTTCCTAATTATTTTTTTCCAGAAACGTCGCATCGAATCTTTGAACACACGCATAAAACATTAAAGGGATCTCAACATTAAATATAGATAAAAAAAAAACTAATTATACAGTTTGCATGGATATCGCGTGATGAATCTTTTGAGCCTAATCAGCCCATGATTAGCCATAAGTGCTAAAGTAACCCACATGTGCTAATGACGGCTTAATTAGACTCAAAAGATTCATCTCGTGGTTTCCAGGCGAGTTATGAAATTAGTTTTTTCATTCGTGTCTGAAACCCCTTCCGACATCCGTTGAAACATCTGATATCACCAGAAAAGCTAATGCGTGCGAGCGCGCTAGCGGCGCGCGTTTCGGCCCAGAGGGCCCAGCGCCGGCGCGTGCGCGCGTCCTCTGACCTTTTTTTTCTTTTTTTTAATAATTTTTTCGTTTTTTTTCTTTCACACTTTTTTCTGATTATTTTTTTAATATTTTAGCATATTTTGAGTTTGAAAGTTTTTAATTTTTGAGTTGAAAATTTTCAAATCTGAACTTGAAAATTTTTAAATCTCGACTTAAAAGTTTTCAAATCTCGATTTGAAAATTTTCAATTTTTTTCAAATCTCGATTTGAAAGTTTTCGAATCTCGATTTGAAAGTTTTCAAATTTTTCAAATCTGGACTCGAAAGTTTTCGAATCTCAATTCTCGAGTTGAAAGTTTTTAAATCTCGAGTTGAAAGTTTTCAAATCTGAGTTGAAAGTTTTCAAATCTTAAGTTGAAAGTTTCAAATCTGGATTGAAAGTTTTCAAATCTGAGTTGAAAGTTTTTAAAATTTAAAACTTAAATCGAAAGTTTTCAAATCTAACTTAAAAAAATTTAATCTATTAGTAAAAAAATCTCCCAAAAAAATCCTAACAAAATCTCCCAAAAAAATCTCCAGAATCTTTCCTAATTACTATCATTAGGATTAAGTATATTAACTAATATAGGTAGTTAAGACTAAAGAGAAGGAGGGATTGTTTGCCAGCTGCTTTCCTACCGTGCACGCGCGTGCTAGCCACCCCTAATATGACACCCAAAAAATTTCTTTTCGTGAACTAAACACAACCTATGTACATGTGATTTTGTTTAGTGTACGTCAATACGTGTGAGGACATATTACGTGAAAACGAACTAAGAGTTAATAATTCGTGAAAATAGTACCTAAGGTTTTATATATTCATAAAAAAGTTACTTGAGATTGATGTATATGAAATACATTTTACCAAAACTCAACTTTATATGGGAGTAAAAAAAGGATAAATTTCGGGTGAATAGTGACAGGGTATTATTCATTTGAAATTTGTTATTTTTGTTTCTATCAAATGAAGTTGAGTTTGGACATGAGATTTGGCAAGATTCTACACCTATCTTAATTTTTTTCATAAATTTAAAAAACTTTTAGGTATGATTTTACGAAATTTCAACACTCAATTTTTACATGATATTTCTTTATGCGTGTTATACTACTAGCAGTACAGCAGTACGGGATATGAACACTGTTTTTTTTCTTTTCTTTTTTTTTTTCGAGAGGACATGCACGGGTAAAAAAAAAATTCCCTTGAGAGAACGTCTCATCTTTTCAAATTCAAATACAATATGCACAAGTTAAAATGGAAAGGATAAATTTGACTGTAAATAGTGTACTTAGGCCGAGTTTAGTTCTAAATTTTTTCTTCAAACTTTCAACTTTTTCATCACATCAAAACTTTCCTACACACACAAACTTCCAACTTTTTCATCACATCGTTCCAATTTCAACCAAACTTCCAATTTTGACGTGAACTGAACACACCCTTCCAATTTTGTATTATTTTTTACAACAAATTGGCTAGTCTTGAATTGGTTTGCTAGTAAAGTTGCTTCTTGACATTTAAAACTAAGACAAATAATTCGGCAAGGTAGTTTTTTTCTTTCTACAAGCAAAACAAATAACAAATATTTTTGTCATCGCCATTTTTTTTTGCTTGGTTGAGATTGGCTACAAACTTACCGTTCATATTACCCCCTCGATTTTTTACGTTGTATACTCTGCAGTGCTGTGCAGGCTAGTATTATATGGTTTTGGTTTCACCCTTTTCTTTAATTACACCATACTCGTGCTTTTCAGGATGTTCAGCAGCGACAAATCCGATTATCAGTTGTTCTTCCGAGCAAGAGGTGCTTTCAGATTCCTTGGAAGCAGTGGACTGATTGCAATCGTATTCTTTTGGGATGCATACGCAATGCTGGGCATGGTTGCTTCGAACTTGCCTGCCTGGGCACACAACTTACTTTCAATCTTGTTAATACTGGTACCACTTGCGATTGGCCAGCTTCTAAGAGCAGCTCGAAGACCGACCAGTAAGTTTAACTGGCTGTGGCCTGCGATCTGTCTGGTCGCAATCCTATTGCTAGCTTTTCCAGTACTTGTATATTACGACCCGCGAATGCACAAAATCAATTTCATAAACCGATTGACCGTGTGGATACCGTACATATTTCTCTCTGCGATTGTGCTCCTAGTAACGATCAGCAGGCTGCAGTACCCAATTATCACAAACCTAGTGCACGGTGCTCTGGGCAGCAAGCATGCATTTTGGAGTCGGTTTATTCTAATTTCATGCATCTTTGCTGCAATAGTGATGCTGGTTGTCATGGTTGATCCAGAGTGTCGATTAATTATGATCGCGATCGCAATCATACTGTCATTTGGCAACTTACATATCCCAGCAGCACTCATGCGTGTCAACCTCGCGGGGATGCGCCTTGCAAAACATAACTACTTCGGTGTTGATGACCGACAAAATCTTGGTGAATCTCTAACCATATTCTATAGCATGGTGCTTGGCCAAGGAATACTTTACATCGTTGCAGGCATACTGGAGGTCTTCTCGTTCATCCCTCGGAGAACCCTCGTCCGCCGTGGTGGATTCACAGGCCAATGGGGAGTTGAATCTGTCAATCTATACTACACATACGCCTTCGAGAAAAACATGGAAGGAGGTGTATTTGCTGCAAAGAGGATCAGCCTCAGCAACTTTGCCATGGATTCTATAAATTCTGACTTGTCCAAGAAACAGCTGTATGGGATCTGGATGATGCACATTTTTCTGCAGAGAGATCCGACCAGGGCACAGCTACTGGAGAAACTGACCACTTCAACGCAGACCATGGCTAGGTTAATCAGTATGCTGGGCTGGACTAGCAGAAATGATCATACAACTATCAGGTTATATGCCGCCAAGGTAACTGCCGAGCTTGCAAAGAGCCTCCGAGTTGTAACTGTCCCTGGGACGATGTACCTTGTTTCTACACTCCTGGATACTGACAGAAAACCAAAAAGAAGACACCCGCTTCTGGATGAAGATGATGATCGAGATCCTTTATTTGTTGATACAGTAGAAAGTCAGGAGAAAAGTCTGGATGCAGCTGGTGATCAAGGGCAAAGACAAGGGTCAGCTGGGGACACTGATATCATGCTGAAAACACCAACCCGATCAACGCACATGAACAACCCAAGATCCACATACAAATGCTGGGAATCCACATACAAATGCTGGGAGAGGATATCAGAGTACCAGTCAATTCCCAAGGAGCGACCATTAACAGACGATGATCTTCTCCCTGCACTAGGCATGTCAATTGTTTATAGCCTTGCTGGTTGTGATCAAAATAACTGTGTGGAAATCGACAAAGTAACTGACCTGATCCCAAAAATCATTGGATTCACAAGCTTCAGAAGCGCAACGTTAAATTCCGAAGCACAACAGAAGGTTCTCATAAAGTTATCACTGCAGGCGCTGCAGAGGCTCACAAGCATTGAAGGGGAAATTGGCATGACACTGCGGTACAAGATAACAAAACATCCCTTCTTACTGCGAAATCTTGCAGAGATCTTGAGAGACAGCAGCAGTAGCAATCAAGAACTAAGGAGGCTCGTGGCAGGAATCCTTAGAAATCTTGCCATTGACAGAGACACAAGGCAGGAGATTGGACAAATGCAAGTGCTCATTACCAGGCTGATCAAAGCATTCCTCGATTCCAACGGACCATCTAGTTCAGATGTTGATTGCTTGCTGCCAAAGGTCGCTGGGCAAGCACTGGTAATGCTGTCATTAGAAAATTCACATAACTGCTTCGTTATATTGAAGGAACCAGAGTTTATTAATAAACTAAAAAATATGATACTAATCCATGATGATAAATACATATATGTGGCAGCAAGCCTGTTGCGTAATATGTGCCTGCACGCTCAACCCGAGCTCACAGAATTAGACCTAAAGGAACTATCTCAGACCTTGCGAGAGGTGAGCTCTGCTAATCCATACCACAAGTGCAATATTAGAGGTGTATAGTATGTCATAACATCTGTGCATTTGCTGTATATTAGTTTTTGCCAAGTTTTGTCATTTTTTTTAGAAAAAGGGCATTTATTTACCAATGAACTATATAAGTATAACTATAGTTTGTACAACTATATTTATCATGCTAGATGACATTGCTGCTTCCACTACAGGTGTTGGAAAGAATAATGGACGCTGAAGGGGCGGAACTAGAAATCCTGATTGGCCTTAGTTCACAGATATGCAAACTCATTCCTGAAGAATTTTCCCAACAGCTAGAGCATGGACAGATTAAGCGGAGATTCATTAAGAGGCTAGTGGACACACTGAATGCAAACATGAACCCAAGTTCTCATTGCCCTGGGATCCGGAGGGTGGTACTTGAGCAATCCATATACATGATGGAGTACAATTCTCACTATGCCAATTGTTTCAATGAATACCAGATGATGGACGCACTGTCAATTGTAGAATTGACGCCCTCAAGGGCTGAGAATTACATGGTTTTCTTGGGTGACACAGGTTTCATGGAATGTAACACACCTCTCTCTGCCCTAGCGGACAGGGCAAAAGAACTGATGGGTCGTCAGTGGCTGCAAGGTATCAACAGTGCCAATTGAAAAAAAATATAAAATGATTTTGCATATATACAGTCAGTAAGACCTTGCATATTGTTACTGCAGGGTAGACAAAGTGATTCTGCATTTACAGTCAGAAGACGACCCATGTTGCTAGAAAGAAAATATATTTACCTTTAAGATGAGCTAAGGGTATTGTATCTGTACCTCATTAATCTTGCACTGTAATCTGTGTGCTATTGATGATTTATCCAATTATCATTTGTTGGAGTGGCCATATTGCAACTCCTATCCCACGTTCTAGCGTGTTCAAGTTTTGGCACCGCTTATTTCCATAAAATCTGTGGTTTATTCGACACCAGAAAATTGGGTTTTCTAACCTAGTGATTAACCCCATTCAACACAAGTTACTATGGCTGAGAAATTCAGACCATGACAATGCCCAACTTATGGAGTACAATGTTCCACTTTCTTGTTCTGTGGGGAGAGCAACAATGTTCATTAATGTGAGCTCGACTCTATTTAAGTCATGGCCCATGTCAATGCAGTATGATGCCAATATCAATGTGCCACGGTGCCTGATTTTTGTGGAGCACAGGGTTCTCAGATTCACATATACGTCTCTCATATTGAGACCAAAACTACGGTGCATTGAGTTTCTGCAACCCGATTAACTACTATAATAAACTAGTAATCGAACAACACTCCCCAAGTTTCCACATGCCTAAGCACAACAGTTGATTCCAGCATAAACATGATTCTCTCTATTTTCTTCAACACAAATATAACCATGATTATAACTGAACCGAATTACCAAAGCAACGAGAAATTAAAAAAATAATCAGTTTCATTGCCAAGCGAAGAGGATCCTATTTGGGATTCGGAAAAAAGTGGGGGAGGGGAGCAACCATTGGGGAATGGCATGGATGGTTCCCTCTCCCTCGCCGCATCGGCTTCCCCTGGCCCGCCGCCCAGCTGGCACCGTCGCGACGAGCTGCTCGCCTCGCCTCGCCGCGCCACGCCGCCGCCGCCCGTCGCCCTCGTTGTTAGTCGGTGGAGGCAGCCCGCAGGCAGAGGCATTTGCCCGGACCGTACGAAGTAGACAGAGGTAGGTGCCAGGCCATAGGCCATGGCTAGTGTACATAGTAGATGGGCCTACCAGGTAATTGGGCCGGTTCCATACAAAGGAAATAGGGACTATCTAAACTTCCATACACCACAATTTTTTTTTTTTAAAAAAAAGCCTTCCAAATGTAGCTATATTTGTAATATAATTCTACCAAAACTATACTATAAATACAATATAACTTTTATAAGTATTAAAACAATATATAGTACTTTATACATAAGTTAAATAGGTGTTACAATTAATTAATTAGTTACAGTGTAATTACAATATATATACACTATACTGCAGTTACATCTAAAAGTATTTTATCAAAAAAAACCTATGACATTTTCTAAGCAATTCCCACGAAATATTAGAGTGAATGTTTGGGCCAGTTTAAATATGGGAATGGAAAGAAACAGATGAAAACTCCAACATAAAAAAAGCAGATGTTTTGAGGTAAACAATGATATATGATGATCTTTTTCCTTCATGTGTACTCAAATTTTATAATTCCAATTACAAGAAAAAAAATTAACCTCTTGGACAAAAATATCACTTTACAAGAAATAATAATCGATATTATGCCATTTTTGAAATATTTCATCTCTTGGTGAGCTTTATCTATATTTTGCCCATAATCATTTTCTCCATGTTCATGTGCACAACGAGCTTGAACAATAGCGCAAAACACAAGGGTCCATTCGAATCGCAGGAATGGAAAAACGAATGAATAGGGAAAAAAAACTATAATTGTGATATGAATGCAAGCGTAAAATTGATGATTGAAAAACACATGAATGATTGTTTGATTGAACAGCAGAAGAACACATAGGAATCGGATGAGAGAGCTCAAAGAAATTTTTTCAAGAGGTTGGACCTCTTGCTAACTTTCATCCAAAATCTCTATAGGATTACTCATTTCATAAGAGTTTTAAAAGATATTATAGGATCCAATCCCTTGTTTCAAAGGGCTTTATTGGAATTTTTTCATAGGATTATAATCTCAATTTTTTAAATATATTTTTCCTACAAACCAAGGGATTCCCTGAGGAGGCAGTGTACCGTGGCTTTGGCCTTCTTGACTTCGCATGGCTTGGGTTCGATCGGTGGCGGCGCGTCGCTGACGGTGGCATAACCCACCAAAACGGAGAAAGAGAACGAGCCTGGGTATTTTCGTCAGCCGCAAAGAAAAACAAGATAAAATTCATTTTGATTGAGAAAAAATGGCATTGTAACAACTTGCCCCTAGTTGAAAATAACATTTTTAACGAAACCACTTTTGAGAGTGACATTCCTGCGAAGCCTTATTTTGGCAATGATAAAATGTCAATTTTCTTGGACTTGATCGTCGCGGCCGGCTAAGCTGTTAATTAACGATTTAACTTTACAGGTGTAACCTTTGCAGGTAACCTTTCAACTCCCTACCGTTCCTTTAACTGTGAGCGAGTCTACCGTGCATCAGTTCTCGTACGTCGGCTTGCTGAGCTGTGGAAACCGACAGACCGATCTTGCTGCGGCACTGATACAGTGTAGCAGACAACGGCACACTTGACACTTGCGAGCTGTGGATGTGGTTTACCGCGTCGATCTTCTGTTTCCATACACCGATTGATTGCGCTCTTCTCAACTGGGCCTACAAATGTCTTCTCTAGGCGTCATGTTTTTGGTACATACTACTATACAGGAGTATCGGCTTAATTTGTTTGGGTTGCTCTTGCTCTACAAATGTGCTGAGGCTTGTGGTTCCTGCAGGATCGGTAATTACCTAGTTAATTAGCATGATGGCGGCCGACGGCAGCGTTGTCGCGGAGCACCGGATACAGATACCAGCCGTGGCATCGGAGTCGGGACAAGCTGATCATAAGGCGGTCGCCGCGGCGCCGGAGAAGTGGCTGAACTTCTTCGTTCGCTTGCTCGCGGGGATCGAAAGCGTGGGCAACGCCTTGGGCACGCTGGCCTTCACCTGGGCCACCGTCGTCCTGCTGGGTGGCTACCCGTCCAATCTCAAGGGCGATTTTGGTTTTGCGACTGCGATATTTTTCCTAGAAGCCACGAGGTACGTATATATGCAACGTCTCCTCGTGGAAATTGTTTTAATCGCTCAGGTGGACGTCCACCCATTTATTTCATATCATCTAAATAGTTATGAAAATATTTTGAAATGATAGTTCAATATGTAATAATATCTTACTCCACAAACATACAAGTTAAAATTCAATTTTTAAAAATCTATCTATATATTAATTTATTAAAGCAATAGAAAAAAAATGCATCCATGTTCGCTCTTATGGCTTAGAAATTCTCATATTAATTGGAGAAAAAGAAAAAACTAAGACCATGTAGGAATACAATTTAAAAATAGTTGAAATTCAGAATTAAAAATAAAGAATATAGGAAGAGAAGACTAGAGTCCATACCGGCATACAATAATACTAACGGAGATTCGGAATTAAAAAAATAAGAAAATTAAAAATAGAGGTTAGATTTCATATATAAATATACAATTTAGAAATAACAAAAATTCGAAATTAAAAAAATAAGGAATATTGGAAGAAGAATATAGAGTCCATATAGAAATACAATTGAAAAATAACTGAAATTTAGAATTAAAAGAAAGAAATATTGAAATATAAGTTTAGAGTCCATACAGAAATACAATTTAGAAATAATAGAAATTAGGAATTAAAATAAGGAATATTGGAAGAAGAGTATAGAATCCATATATGAATTTAGAATTAATTAAAATAACTTCGATGAAAAAACCCCCAAAGTCAACTCTAAGTCTAAGGTTGAAAATTTAAATTTTGGCTGATAAGTATAAGTATAAACGAAAAGATGAGACTGCAAAGCTGTTCGGTAAGATTTCGAGTGTTTCAAATTTTAAGGTAAAACTAACTTTTGATAATCGAATAATTGGCTCATATGGGCCTTTTTGTTTGTATGGTATGTATCTTTCAAGGGTATTGTTATGGTACCTTCTACTACTAGGTGCAGTTGTATATATTTCCATATGTATATACAATATTTTCTTTGAAACTTTAGTAAAATATATTTACCAATTCATCTATTTTAATATGGAATATGATACACGAATTTATTGCAATGCTATATATATTATTTCTAATTTTACCCCTATATAATTTCTACTACACTACTACCGGGTGTAGTACAATAAAAACAAATCCATTGAATCCGAAGCGATTAAAGGCTCACAATCATTTGAGGGTACGTTAAAAATCCGTCTTTCAATTCCCTTCTGTTTAATGATTAAAACGATACGTCTACTTTCAGGATATTCACCCGCAACAATATGCTGGATTATCAACTGTTCTTCCGGACGAGAGGTGCCTTTAGACCACTGGGCTGGAACGGGCTGATGGTAATCGCAGGCTTCTCCGTTTCTATGGTGTCCACGGTTGTTTGCAACGTACTCTGGGCACGTATAGGGTTTGAAATTATGGTAGTTTTATTTGCGGCTGGCCAGTTTCTATGTGCTGGAGTTCTAAGACTGCGCCTACGCATCAACAATCGGCTACGCCGTCAGATATCGCTGTGGAGCCCAGTGGTTGCACTCTCAATACTTGCTTCCTGTATTTACAGAGAGCACAGGAGCTCACTGGCCATGCGGATAGTGTACGGTTTGCTCCTTGTGGTTGTGCTCCTAGTGACTATTAGCAGGCTGCAGTTCCCAATTATAATCAACCGAGTACAGGGTGCTTTGGGTCGCAAATACGTATTTTGGCGCCCATTTATCCTATACTCGTGCATGCTCGCTGCAATTGTGATGCCGATGTTCATGATTGAGAAATTATATTCGTCTGCGATCATCGTCCTCGACATATATGCCTTGGTCGTTGTGTCATTCGGCAACTTGCAGATTCCAGCAGCAATCGCGCGTGTTGTGCTCGCAGGGATGCACCTTAATCCAAAGGGCTACGACGGCCATGCAAATCTTGTCCCATCTCTAAAAATGTTCTACGCAATGGTGATTGCCCAGGGAATACTTTACATCATTGCCGCGGTGTTGGAGATCTTCTGCTTCATCCCTCGGAGACACCTCGTCCGCCATGGTGGTTTACAGGTCAGTGGGGAGCGGAATCTGTCGATCTGTACTACGCATACGCCTACGACAAATACATGGAAGGAGGTCTGTTTGCTCCAAAGAGGATCAGCCTCGGCAACTTTGCCATGGATTCTCTGAATTCGGACCTATCCAAGAATCAGCTATACGCTGTCCGGATGATGCACACATTACTGCAAAGTGATCTGACCAGGGCACGGTTGCTAGAGAAACTCACCGGTTCAACACAGACGATGGCCAGGTTAATCAGCATGTTGGACTGGAGTAGTAGACACCATTGTACAGCTATCAGGTTATATGCCGCCAAGGTCACTGCCGAGCTCGCAAAGAACCTCCGAGTTGGAACTGTCCCTGGGACATTGCAGCTTGTATCTACTCTTCTGGATGCTGATGGAAAGCCGAAAAGAGGGCACCCACTCCTGGATGCAGATGGTGATCAAGATCATTTTGTTGATATATTAGATAGACAAGATAAAAAACATGATATAGCTGGTGACCAAGAGCCGATTGAGGACACCGATAACCTGATGGAAACACCAACCCGATCAACGCACATTAACGACCAAAGATACATACCTAGAATTTTGCATAGGATACTGGCGTACTGGTCAATTCCCAAGGAGCAGCCATTGACAAACGATGATCTTCTCCCTGCACTAGGCATGTCAATCATATATAGCCTTGCTGGTTGTGATCAAAATAACTGCGCGAAAATCGACAAAGTAACTGACCTGATCCCCAAAATCATTGGATTCACAAGCTTCAGAAGTGCAATGGTAAATTCTGAAGCACAACAGAAGGTTCTCTTAAAGTCATCGTTGAAGGTGTTGCAGAGGCTCACAAGAATTGACGGCGAAATCGCCATAAAACTGCGGTATAAGATATCAAAACATCCCTTCTTATTGAGAAACCTTGCAGAGATCTTGGGAGACAGCAACAGTAATCAAGAACTAAGGAGGCTCGTGGCAGGAATCCTCAGAAACCTTGCAATTGACGGAGACACAAGGCAGGAGATTGGACAAATGAAAATGCTTATTACCGGGCTGATGAAGGCATTCCTCGATTCTAACGGATCATTTAGTTCAGATGTTGATTGCTTACTGCCAAAGATTGCCAGGCAAGCACTGGTAATGCTGTCATCAGAAAATCCGCACAACTGCTTCGTTATGTTGAAGGAACCAGATTTCATTCATAAACTAAAAAATATGATCCTGATCCATGATGACAAATACATATATGTGGCAGCAAGTCTATTGCGTAATATGTGCCTGCACGCTCAATATGAGCTCACAGAATCAGACCTAAAGGAACTATCTCACACATTGCAAGAGGTGAGCCCTGCTAATACATACTGCAAGTGCAATATAGAGGTGTATAGCATGCCATATCATTTGTGCATTTGCTGTCTATTAATTTTTGTCATTTTTGGTAAAAAGAAGGGGTCGTTTATTTACCAATGAACTATATAAGTATAACTTAGTTTGTACCAGTCTAAAAAAAACTTAGTTTGGACAATTATATTTATCATGCTACATGGCATTGCTGGTTCCACTACAGGTGTTGGAAAGAACAATGGACGCTGAGGGGGCAGAACTAGAAATCCTAATTGGCCTTAGTTCACAGATATGCAAACTCATTCCTGAAGAATTTTCCCAAGAGCTAGAGCACGGGCAGATGAAGCGGAGATTCATTAAGAGGCTAGTGGACGCACTGAATGCAAACATGAAACCAAATCCTCATTGCCCTGGGATCCGGAGGGTGATACTAGAGCAATGCATATACATGATGGAGTGCAATTCTTGCTATGCCAATTGTTTCAATGAATTCCGAATGATGGATGCAGTGTCGATGGTCGAAGAGACACCCTCAAGGGCTGAGAAGTACATGTTTTTCTTGGGTGACATGGGCTTCATGGAATGTAACACACCTCTCTCTGCCCTAGTGGAGAGGGCAAAAGAACTGATGAGTCGCCAGTGGCTGCATGCCATCAACAGTGCCAACTGAGAAAAAAAAAACTGTAAGATGATTTCGTATTTACAGTCAAACGACCATGCATATCTTTTAGTATAGGGTAAAAAAGTGATTGTGCATATGACCTTTCTAGAAAGAACATAGATTTGCCATTGAGATGAACAAAGGCTATTGTATTTGTACCTTATTAGTCCTGCACTGTAAGTCTGTAATCTATTTGCTACTGATGATTTATCCAATTATCATTTGTGGGATTGCCCAATGCCTAATTGGTTACAGATGCTTGAGGTGATTGTAATTCCTATGCCAATTTATAGTGTATTACGGTTTTGACATCGATTATTTCCATAAAATCTGTGGTTTATTTGACACCAGAAACAGCCCCATTCAACACAAAGTCAGTACTCAGTAGCAGCACGGAACTCGCCTACTATGGCTGAGAAATTCAGATCATATACAATGCGCAACTTATGGAGTACAGTGTTCCTCTCTCTTGTTATGTGGACAGAGCAAAAAAGTTACTACTTAATGGGAGCTCATCTGTTAAAATCGTGCGCCCATGTCAATGCATTATGCGTGCCAATATGCACGTTGCCTGATTTTTTTTGTTACGCATAGGGTTCTCAAAACTGCGGTGCGTTTTCCTGAAACTCACATTGCGATTAGCCGATTAGCCCTAACCCGGATAAAAACATTGCGATTAACCTAACCCGACTAAAAACATCACGATTAACCAGTAAACTAGCAATCGGAGAACACTTCCAATCTAGAACATCCCTAAGCACAACTGTCGATTCCAGTATAACCATGATTCTCAGGGTGGGTGCGTGTTTTTGGGGGCGGGGGTCGGGGGGGTGGGGGACTTAGGGGAGAGCACCTGTTGAGGAATGGCCTGGAGATGATTCTCCCTCGCCGGCGTCTGCCGCTCCGGGCCGCCGGAGAGCCACGCCCACTGCCCAGCCGGCGCCGTCACGCCTAGCTCGTCGCCTCATCGCCATCGCCGTAGGCTGGTCGAGGAAGACACGGCTTTTCGGCCGTATGAAGCGAAGTAGGCAGCGGGCCGCAGTGTAGCCTACCTACACAGTTCACATCGAGTCAGGCCCATTCGCGCTGTTCGTCTTGCCGCCAAACTGCCGAGGAAAAAGTCTATTTGATTTGGGATGAATCATATTATCCCTCAAACAGTCAAACTACTAATGTAGATATATCGCTTTTCACATATATCTAAATCGCTACGATATTGCCTCCCCTAACACAGTTTAGAGATCAGCAACTTTATCCTACGTGATATATTTACCTGGTATTCATTTGACGTGACATTACAATCAGCTAAAAAGATAAAAATATACAGTGAGACCTATGTTAGACCCCACAAGTCAATGACCACTTAGGTAGCGCTCTTTTCTCATAAAGATTAAGATTTTAACTCGGTTTCCGTTAGCACGTTTTTTAAACTACTTAACGGTATGTTTCATGCAAAAAAAAAAAATCTATATGAAAGTTGCTTTAAATTATCAAATATATCCATTTTTCAAGTTTGTAATAATTAAAACTCAACTAATTATGTGCTAATAGCTATCTCGTTTTGCGTGCCCGCATTTAATCTGAACCTTCATCAGATTCGAACGCAGCCTTATTCCTTTATCATCCACTCTCTCTCCTCCCCCTCTCTCTCTGTGGTACCTTTCTTTCTTTCTCTTTCTCTCTCGGTGGTCCCCAAAGATGGCACCCCCGCGAAAAAAGAGTTGAGGCGGCAGTGACCTCGTCGGCGGGGAGAGGATGTGGCCCAACGTGGCGGGATCTTTGTGAAGACGGCAAGTAGTGGAACCTATGGCAACGAGCGGTAGCGTAGAGAGAACCAGAGAGGGCAAGGACGGTGAATAGAAGAGCCCGGAGCCCAAAGGTCCTATGCTCTTCTTGAGCTCAAAGCCGCTACCAATGCAACCCTTGTTTCCTTGGTTGGCATAGTTAACACTAGCAGGAGAAGCACGGGGGTGGTGGTGCTCGTAAGCAATGGTTAGTGATAGCGGGCCTCTAGCCATCAAGAAGCTTCACGCTTGTCAATGAGCCCGAGGAGGATCCCATGGCGATGAACCTCGCACGTCACTGCTACCTTGAGCTCCTGCCTCCGCCATCACGCCTCTCCTTGTTCAGCTTGGGAAGGTGGCGAGAAAGGGGATGAAATACTCCTTCCTCCGGTAATCATGGTATAGTGTTGACATGACAAGTGCTTCATGGTGGATATCTAGTGGCACTTCAAGCTGAGATGGATCTAGAAGAAGTGGTGGAGTGGTCGAACTAGCATTGGCGTAACAAGGAGGCTCATTGCTGCCAATCTCCTCTCATGCCACCGCTAGTCTCTTCTAGGCTTGTAGCTACCTGATCTTGGGCGAGCACCCTAGCAAAGTAACCGTCCTAACCAGGGAGAAGCTAGAGAGTGTCAATGGTAGGGAGGAATCAAAGTCGTGGAACCGGTAGAGCAGAGGAGTGTGGAGACAACCGGCACACGGTGCAAGGAGGCGCAGATCAAAGGCTGAGAGCGTGGTGGGTAGGTCAGCGATAGCTTTAGGGCGGTGGAGAGAAGGAGCTCTCCACTGTTGTCGGCGACCGGCGCCTCCTCTGCATGTCTCAAGCTTGGATCATAACGAGTGCCGCCTTCGTAATGCTTGCCTCTTCTATGGTGACGACAGTGAAGGAATGAGCCAAGACAGAGAGAAGAGGACCTTGTGATGCTACTTAGGTTACTGCAACCACTAAACTACATATTCTTTCGTGTTAAAGCGACATGTGGAAGTTATGCTAGTTAAAACCGCCTTATAAACCACTAAGGAGACGAAAAGAAACCCTTACCGTCAGTTACGTGGTTCAGGGACGAGAATCGAGAGTCAGACGTCTAGCATCGGGGCCCAAAACCTGCCTTGCCACGACGGTGATGAGCAGTCGACCACAGCGCGTCGCCTCCTTCCTAGCTGCAAGCTCTGGACACTGGTGGAGAAACCATCTTTCGTCGGTCGGCCGATTTCCACAATAGTCCCGGATGCAATAAAAACCGGGGCTAAAGATGATCTTTAGTCCCGGTTCAAAAGGGTAACGGGCATATTTGATCTTTAGTCCCGGTTTGTGTTACCAACCGGGACTAAAGATCATCTTTAGTCCCGGTTCGAATGCTGTCAGTGCCTGTCAGGCCCCCCCGGGATCTTTAGTCCCGGTTGGTAACACCAACCGGGACTAAAGATCCCCCTATATATATGTCTTCTTCCTCCTCCAGCTGCCCGACCAAGCTTCAAAATTTCTTCAAAAAAGAGGGGAGGTCATGCCAAAATTTCTATTGAATTTATTTTGGTGATTACATACAAATCGGAGGTGCCTAAGAGGTTTGCAACTTCATCCTCCAATGTTTTTTTTTGTCATACTACATTTGCACCTATGTTTTGCACACTTTTTTTGTCTCCAAAATTTAGTTGTAAGTTGATGAGAGAGAAAATGTGTGTGGGGAAGAAAGAATATATAGAAATTTAGTTCATTTGCTAAACAAGGTTTTATAAAATAGTTGAGAAGGAAAACTCTAGTGAAAGTTAATCTTAAATAATAGAAAACAAACTAAAATGAAAATTAAAAGAAGTAAAACACATTAAAATTAGTTTAAAACTTTACAAATAGTTTTTAAGAATTATTTGGTGTAATATTTTATGATTTTTGTATGAATAAAGATATCTTATAATTATTGTATGACTGTCATTATTGTAAGAATAATTATTTGTGTACGGTTTTTTTGACTCATGTAGATGGATCGGCAATGGATGTACGCTGACCGGCGGTCCAAAGAGTTTATTGACGGCGTGCACTATTTTTTGAGAGTGGCCGAAGCTAACAGGCAAAGGGGTTTTATTTGTTGTCCATGCAATAAGTGTAAGAATCGGAAGGAGTATTCTGCATCCAGGACTATTCATTTCCACTTGTTTGAGTCGGGGTTCATGCCAAGCTATAATTGTTGGACATCCCACGGAGAGCAAGGTGTTGAAATGGAAGAAGATGAAGTGGAAGACGACAATATTCCGGACTTTGCTCAGTATGTTGGATTTGAAGGAAATCAAACGGGCGAGGAGGAAATAGCTGCTGATGGTAACGACGTTGCGGATGATCTTGGTCAGATGTTGCAGGACGCCAGGGAGGACTGCGAAAGTGAAAAGGAGGCCCATAAATTGGACAAGATGTTGGAGGACCATAGAACTTCGTTGTACCCAGGTTGCGAGCAGGGGCACAAAAAGTTGGATACCACTCTGGAGTTGTTGCAATGGAAGGCAAAAAATGGGGTTAGTGACAAGGCATTTGGCGATTTATTGAAACTCGTCAAGAACATTCTTCCGGGGGGAAACAAATTGCCCGAGACAACGTACGAGGCTAAGAAGATAGTCTGCCCGTTAGGACTGGAAGTTCATAAGATTCACGCATGTCCGAACGATTGTATCCTATATCGCGGTGAGGAGTATGAGAACCTAGAAGCATGCCCTGTTTGCAAAGCACTACGATACAAGATTAGACGGGACGATCCAGGAGAAGTTGACGGGCAGCTAACAAAGAAGAGAATTCCTGCTAAGGTGATGTGGTATTTCCCTATAATACCACGGCTAAGGCGTTTGTTCAGGAACAAGGGGAATGCTAGAATGTTGCGATGGCACGCTGAAGAGCGTCAACAGGACGGGATGCTGAGACACCCCGCCGATGGTTCGCAGTGGCGAAACATCGACAGAAAATTTAAAGAATTTGGAAAGGATGCACGAAACATACGGTTTGGTTTGAGTACGGATGGCATGAATCCTTTTGGAGAGATGAGCAGCGGCCATAGCACTTGGCCCATTACGATGTGTATCTACAACCTCCCCCCTGGCTATGCATGAAGAGGAAGTACATAATGATGCCGATTATTATTCAAGGCCCCAAGCAACCTGGTAACGACATCGACGTGTACCTAAGACCACTGGTCGAAGATCTTAAACAGTTGTGGAAGAAGGAAGGTGTCCCCGTGTGGGACGAGGACAAACATGAGGAGTTTAACCTACGAGCGCTGCTGTTCGTAACCATCAATGATTGGCCTGCACTTAGCAACCTATCCGGACAGTCCAACAAGGGGTACAAGGCTAGCACTCACTGTATGGATGAAACAGAAAGTACATATCTTAAGCACTGTAGGAAGGTTGTATACATGGGTCATCGTCGATTCCTTGCAGCAAACCACCCGGTACGGAAGAAAGGCAAGCACTTCGAACATAAGGCCGACCACCGTACGAAGCCTAAACATCACAGCGGGAAAACAGTGTTTGCTATGGTTAAAGATCTTAAAGTAGTGTTCGGAAAGGGGCCTGGAAGCCAGCATATAGAGAGCGAAGATGGTCACGCGGCGATGTGGAAAAAGAACTCTATATTTTAGGAGTTACCATATTATGAATTCTTGGACGTACGCCACGCAATCGACGTGATGCACCTCACTAAGAACCTTTGTGTAAACCTTCTTGGCTTCCTAGGTGTATACAGAAAGTCGAAAGATACACTGGAAGCACGTAATGATCTGAAGCATATGGAACAACGCGGCGACCTTCACCAGGAACCAAAGGAGAAAGGAAGCCATTACTTGAGTCCAGCCAGCTACACTCTTAGCAAGGCAGAGAAGGAAAGTATGTTTGAATGCTTGGAGAGCATAAAGGTACCGTCTGGATACTCCACGAATATCAAGCGAATAATAAGCACGAAGGAGAAGAAGTTCACAAACCTAAAGTCTCATGACTATCACGTGTTGATGACACAACTGCTACCAGTTGTAATAAGGGGTATCCTTCCAGACAATGTCCGGGCAACAATAACAAAGCTATGTGCATTCATGAATGCAATTTCGCAGAAGGTCATCGATCCGGATAGATTAGAAGCCCTTCAGAATGAAGTGGTGCAATGTCTCGTCAGTTTTGAGTTGATATTTCCACCTTCATTTTTCAATATAATGACGCATCTGCTTTGTCACCTTGTGAAAGAGATCCGTATTCTCGGGCCTATGTACCTACACAACATGTTTCCTTTCGAGAGGTACATGGGCGT